ATAATACTTGTGGTAAGTTGTAATTTCACTAACATCCATTCTTCAAATATGCAGCATACTCACAGGGCTTCTTTCATTTATGGTGAGTCCCTTATGGCTCTTTGACATGCTAATTTATTTTTCGCCTTCTTCTTCTTGTTCCTTTTCGTTTTTTTTTTTTTTTTATGTGGGGTAACGGGAACTTTGTTTTTAATGTGCCATCAGATTCTCCTAATGAATAAGTTGCTTAATGAAAGTTGTACTAACTTATTGATGCTATCCTAGTAGAATCTTAACTTGTTTGGAAGTACAGGTAGCCGTATCATTAGTAAAATGAATGTGCTAATTTATGGCCTTCCTGCTGTATTCAGTAGTTCAAGCAAATCATTTTATGTTGAACATGGTTTATTTAATTATTTTAAAATCCAATTTTCTTAGATTTAATAGTTACTTTGGTTGGAAATGTCACATCATTTTGTTATTTTTAAAGCATCTCTAATCCTTCGATATATCCTTTTTTCACGCAGATGGACACCAGTCCTACTACTGGCAGTGTGAACACTACTGTTGCTGAGAAGAAACGTCTGGCAAAAGCTTCTCTTGCATTTAACTCTAAGAAGTAAGTTCACTGGATCAGCTACAGCTTGTTTTATATTCTCTATTTTCAGATTATTTAAGCCACACTGAGGGCTAAAGTAAAATAACGTTCGAATATATTTGTGGTTGAGTGGCCCATGCCTGTTTTATATCCATCTGCATTTGCATTGGTTAATGCCACTTGCCAATTGTGTTGTTTGTACTTCTGTTCAAAATTTGCTTGAATTAGGTGAGTTGAGAATACTAGGTGTCAAATCAGTTGGCTCAGACAACTAGTGTTTGTGTACAATGTATAGATCGTCCCAAGTAGACCTCATCAGATTTTTTTTTCATAGTAAAGAACATTGTTCAGAACCACCAAGGGTGTTGCTGATCATGGAACCCTTGTGTTTCAACCCGCTTGTATCTGATTCTCTTTCAATCTTTAGTGTACTGTCTGACAATTTTCCGTTGAAACAGTGTGACATTCCAGAAAATCTTTCCCGAGTATGTGGAGAAGTATAACCAGCAGCAGCTTACTCCAGAGCAGGTGTCGTCCGATCCATCTCAAGAAAACTCGAGGCCCTTGTTGAAAAAGGTTGATGATTCAACAGGAGGTATGAAAAGAGTGGATGCCTTAAAGGAGGCGGGGAATAAGAAAAGGCAGTCAGTCCCAACGTGGATGATGGTTTTGCTCATTTCGGTCTTTGGTGTTGTAATGGCGCTGCCGCTACTTCAACTTTAACATCTTACATCCCGAGTAGAAAATTTATTGGGGTACGTGGACATAAAAGCTGTTGCGAGTCGAGGGACTTGTTTAAAGTACTCGTTTTAGGGTTTTATCTCTGTATCTAATATAATTTTGTATAGGAGGTTGATACTTAAGGTCAGTTGAATGTGTTGGCTGATGTTTTTCCTTCTATGTCAATGTTTGGTCCTTGTTTGCCTCCCAGTGTTCAAACATGACATGATTGTGATGTTATTTCAACTTCAGTTCAGTGGAGTTTCGGTTCGGTCTTTTGGTTGCTACTCTCATTCATGCGCACTCACACAAGTTTGTAGCTCGGATTTTGGTTTACCGATAAGTAGATTTGGAAAATGAATCGGATTTGGATTGGATCAGCATTAAAACGTATTTGGATCTATTTGTTCTGGGTTTTGAGAACCATATTACTGTACTTGTGGGCCCCATTTGCCAGCCATGTAAGCACCTCAAACGGAAAATTTTACGGTGTTAGAACAAAAGGACTGATGCTTCATATTTATTAAGTCTAATGGAATTTTAGAAATATGAAGTCTAATGGAATTTTAGTTCAGGAACCAAAGCTACAATTGACTTAAAGTTAAGGGGTCAAAGCTACAATTTACTCTTTTTTTTACGCAATTATTTATTATTGTTACACAACTAATATGTATGTTGTATTAAGTTGCATCAAATTATTCTCGAATTAGATCAGCCTTAATTCATACTTTTTTTTCTTCATGGAATTGTGGTTGCGGAGAATGCTACTCCTATATCTCACCTTCTTTTTGCGGATGACTCAGTTTTGTTTTGCTGTGCAACAGAGGAGGCAAGTAATGTTAATGAGTTGCTACAATGATATGCGTGTGGATCAGGGCAATCAATTAACTTGGAGGAGCCCTAAATGACCTCAACATATTAAAGAGAAGATGATGGCAATGATGAATATTAAGTATCAACAGGGGTTTGGTAAGTATTTAGGCCTAAAGGCAGACTTTGATGCATCGAAAAAGTTGGTGTTTCAAAAGGTTCGTAATAGGGTGGAGGATCAATTTAAGGGTGGGTTGAGCAATTTTTATCCCAAGCGTGGAAACAAGTCCTTATTAAAAGTGTGGCTTCGGCACTTGCAAACTATGCAATGTCCTACTTCAAGCTCCCAGTGAATTTGGCTAAAGAAATTGAGAGCATGATCGCAAGTTTTCTTTTAACCTTGCGATGTTGGCAAAAATTGGTTGGCAAATTCTTGGTGAACCGGAGTCTCTTCTTGCCCAAATTTTGAAAGCCAAATATTCTCCGAATTCTTCGTTCATGGATGCTCCTAGGGTCGTTGAACATCATGGGGATGGAAGGGCATTTTGCAATGGCGGAAAGTTCTAAGTCGTGTTGGGAATGGAAGGAGTGTGAGAATTAAACAAGACACGTGGCTGTCAACTCCATGAACGTTTAAGCCCATGCCGGAAAAGGTAGTGGATTTAATTGATACTAATACTGGTACGTGGAGAAGGAGTGTGGTTGAACGTTGCTTTGGCCAGGATGAAGCTTCTCAGATTTTGAGCATGCCGTTAAGTGTATTTGGGTCCGAACGGGGTATAAGGTTGCAGAAGAACAAAGTAAAAATGGGAACTTGGAAGAAAAGGTATGGGGGAGACTAGTGGACATGGCCATTTATTTTCTAGCCTTTTCTTTTCACTTTTCCATGTTCTCGGTTTTAGCAACTGAACTAAAGTTTAGTAGTGTAAAACAAAAGAATTATGACACGGGAACTTTAACGAAAAACACCCGGTTCTGTTCACTTTAACGAAAAACCACATTTTTACACTAAAAAGTCAATCCTGATACTATTCACTTTACCCTTTATTTTGTCCTTATCATTAAAACTCAAAGTTTTCAAGCCATTTTTATTAGTTTTCCTATGACACATGTAGCAAAGAACTTGTTAACTTTGATTGCATAAACGTTAAAAAAGCGTTCAGAGATATTGACTTAGCCACACAATCAGTCAACTATAATAATTTAATGTTAAATTCGTCATTCACGAAAATCGAACCTAAAATATTTCGCTTAAAAATGAAATGAAATATCACTATAACTTAATATTAACTTAATTCCCCCGTTTAATGAAGGATGTTACAAATAATCAATTGAAAAGTACAAAAACCACCTCATAAAAGGAGGAAGAAAAATTTTGTAGGGGGCACTACATCAATGGCTTTGAAGCATCATTAAAAATACGATAAACTGTCATTTGACCCGTTACACTCGGTCTCACTCTACTCTATTTGCAAGAATAATAAATATATAGTAAGTTGGATACTAAGTTGAAAAAAGTCCCTTATTTCTTAGTTGTTTATGTTCTGTCTGTGGGCAAGCAGAACTGAAGCTCCTTGCTGCAAGAATTTACCTTTTCCCTCCTAAAACTTTTGCCCAAATAAATCCTCAAACCCCACGAAACCTGCTCCGCGTTCGTCGGGCATTGTGCATGAATCACGACTCAGTCCCCATGACAAAAAGGTATGGTTCATTATTTTTAATTATTTTTTAATGTTTTAATTATAGGCAGTGTTACTCCTTTAATTTAAACAATTAAAACGAAAAATGAGTGAGTTTGAATTTAGGACATTGTTTTAAAAATAAATAAATAAAAATAAAATAAAATAACTCAGGACACCATTAGTTGTAGCGGAAGGCGAAGGACCCGGCTTCTTTGCCCTTCTAAGGGCTGGTTTGGTATTGCTGTGCTTTGAAAAAAAGCTGCTGTGAGAATAAGCGGCTGTGCTGTGAGAATAAGCGGCTGTGAAATAAATCAGCAGAGTGTTTGGTAAACTTTTTTGTAAAAGTGCTTTTGGAAAAAAAAGCAATCTGATAGTGGGTCTTTTCATTAAAGGAGCACTGTAGTTCTGTGTGCTTTGAAAAAAAGCCAGTTTTCCAAAGCTACAAATTGCAGCTTCAGCTTTTTCCTTTGATTTCAGCTTATTCTCACAGCAGCTTCCAAAATAAGCCATTTTTTTTAAGTTTACCAAACACCAAAAACACTCACAGCTTTTTTTCATAAGAGCTTTTTTTTAAATCACCTCAACCCCAAACTGGGGCTAATTCCCATACACTACCATTCCTTTCTATTTTGTGCGGTCATAGTTATGTCATTTCAACATTTTATATTGATTTTTTTTATAGAGATAATAAGACAAAAAGTAATAGTGATATAAAATGTTGACGTGGCTTAACCGTGACCGCACAAATAGGAGGAGATGAGAGTGTATGAGAACTCGGAGGGCAGAAAAGCCAGGTCTAAAGGCGAAAACCAAACTAGGACTATAGTACCACTTGCGGGGTTGAGAGTTGATTAATTATTTACACGATATGTTATAGAGAATAAATTTTAGTAAACACATTAATCAATGATTAATAATAATTTAATCATCAACAACATCATCATTAAGTACAAATTTAGTCTTAATGGCATCACTCTTAATTGTACGATGACATGGGACCATTAGGAGCATTGTAATGAATCACATGATGGTGATCAGAGGAGGTTAAAATGACTCTGTAAATTTTTCCGATCCCTGAAAAAGTAGACTGTCGTGACAAAGCCACCAATTGATCATTTTTTTTCAGAAAAAAAAAAAAAAAAGGTCATTAAACAGTGGTTAACACTTCGACAAAAAAAAACAGTGGTTAACACTAATTAGGGTTTGCCAGCTGAAACTTTGCCTTTAAAGTGATTATCCGTTTGATACGTTTTGACTTATCAATTGAGCCGTTTTAAGCATCTTTTGATCAATGCTTTCTGTGCTGCCTTCTCAAATCTGAACACTGCCATTTCAACCACCATTTCAGAAGTTCAAAATTTTCGGGGTTTTTTTTAAACCAGAATATATTGATGTGGGTTTTCCTGTAAAAGGGTGGTTGGATTTTGCCTTTTTTGATCAATGCTTGTTAGTAGAAATGGACCACTTCAATGTAGTTTCAGAGCTTTCTGCTTGATTGATTGCTCTTCTTCAACTGTGAAAGGTAGCAAAAGAGTTGAGAATTTCATTTCATTTTCTTGTCTTTATAAATCTTTTTTTTTTTCTAAGCAAAGCCATATTCGCGGAAGAGGAATTCCAACCCAAGGCCTCGGCTGCAGGAGTAAACGTTTTCTAACTATCTTTTTGTTTTTCATTTTATTTAGACAAGCATGAAGAAATCTCCTACGCATCCAAAATATGAGATGGATCATGATCACAGCAATGGATTCGATCCTCATACCGACTTTTATCAGGTTAGGTTATTAACTGGTTAGCGTTGGAGCGTCGAGTCTCGTAATATTGATATTTTGGGCATTCACCTTTTAAGGACATGAATGTAAAAACTACTGTTGTTTTAGCTATTGTAGTGTACAGGGTTTGATTTGAAATCTGAAGTGTGTCACTTTCTTGCTGGAGAACAGTTTTGTATTCAATGTAAAAATATTCTATTTACTAATTTCATCTGGATTTAATTAATTCTTAATTCAATCAGTTTTTGGAAGAAGCCAAACACAATGTAGTAGAAGGAGACTTCCAGGCACCATCAGAAGAAGGTGCAGAGAGAAGATTGGGACAAGAGAAGAAGAAGAAATCATGGAAAAAGTTTCTATTTCCGTGGTTGAAAGGAGAGAAACTGAACAAAACTACTACAAAACCAGCAACCGTATCTCATATTTCTAATGCGAAGCGGACTAATGTTTCCGGTCCGGTGTATGGCACCGGCAAGGCTACGGATGGTAAGCACCGGGGTCCAATGTCGGGGCCTATTGCCAGTCTCTTCAACCCCACAAAGAGAGAAGACAATGCAATGCCTTATATGTGCCTTGACAAGAATGGCAGCCCTCAAGTTGGAAAAACTTATGGGCCAGTTTATTTGGTGACAAATTTTCATGAAGAAGTTGGGGAATAGAAAATTGAAATTGTTAACCTTTCTACTCCACGAAGGATTTCAACTTATGGATTCTGCATTGGCTGTGATGGAAACGCAGTTGGATCATCGAATGGAAGAAAACCGGGAATTCAAGCCGTCTTGGTTGCTTCGAATCATCCGAGGATGGAAAAAGCTGCTGAGAGATTGTTCTTTAGGTGTGATGTTATAGTGTTTCATTTGTGAGAACGCTGTAAAATAGGACTTAGAATACTTGACAACCAAGTCGATTTAACCATCTATATATGTATTCCTTTTCTTAGCCTTTGTAAGTGATCAAAGGAAGCAATTAAGAAGTGACGTTTGATGATTTATGCTCTCGCACCTTGTGCTTATCTCTCGCCTCATGTCATGTGTCAGTGGAAGTCAAGGGAGAGATAGGCACGAGGGGATACACACCTGTTTGCACATAAGTTTGTATCACTCTCGAAAGCGTCTTTGATGTTATATTTCATTCAATCTTCAACTGCATCCTCATTATTTATGTATTCTTCATGCTCAGCAGTTAAAAAGAGAAATATTTTTTGCAGGAAAGCCGAATCATAGTTTCCTTAATAAAAAAAAGAAAAAAAAAGTTAACTTCGGGAGGGAAACTATGTACTTGCCCAACAGAGCTTCATGTACAATAATCTGCTTCTGCTAATGGAGATAAAGTGTCTGAGGTTATTCAACTTTCCTTTATGTGATAGAGGAATGGTATGGCAATTGAGGGCTTTTAATACATCTGAAATGATGCTTACTTCATACGTGTGCACCTGTTAATTTGTTAGACACGTAAAGAGCCTCGTCATCCCACAAACAGGGGGGGAATGGTTTGTCATTGCGGCTCGGTTTTATATCTGCAACGTGATGAGAGAAATAGACACAAAGGAATATCACATGATTAGAGAGAGAGAAACAAAGAGATACACGAGCGTTTACAATGCCGATTCTCTCTAGAACGCAAGAAAATATGCAACCGGTTACAAAAAAGATTATCTCCGAACACGTATCCCTCTTGTACTTTACAAGAAGGAACCATTTAGGATGACTTGCAGGTACAACTTGCATCACACAACCTAAGGTCCTAAACTATACATGGATCACAAGCCATTCTAGCATTTGTTTGGTCTCAGAAACTGATAGCATAATTACAACACAAAATGTTGTTTAATGATTAAAGAAGCCTTAGAAGTGGTTAGAAAAGGCAGTTGAAACACATAACAAGAGGGATGATATTGGATGCTCACTAATCTGGAAAATTTTATGGAATTAAAAGAGAAACTTCCTCTCAGGAATAAGACACTCTTTTACACGTCCGGAACACCAAGGGAGTTAAAACACATGACATTGTTATTAGTGGTTCAAAACGCCACCTTGTCAACCCCGGGTGTAGGTGAGTCCTTTCCCTCAGGAATAACCAAACACTAGAAAGTTAAGAACTTCAATTGCTATTTCATTTCCTTTCTTCTTCATAGAATCATAGGTTAAAAAAAAACAAAGTGTTCAAGGCATAATTAAGAAAATTGAGCCTACATTATTCTGTTTTTAAAGTAACTAAGCGATACATATATTTTACAACTTTTTTGAGATCTCAAGATCCATCTCTTCTAGAATAAAAGAACAATTACCAAATAAAATCCCCTTAGAAATTCCTTATGTCTTCATCTCCATAAGAACCCTAAACCAAAAATTCTCAGGGATGCAAAAGATTGCACATCTAAGACTGTCCTTTCAAATTATGTACAAACATTAAATCTAGCTTCTTTTCTAACTCGGCCCTCCTCCTCTCCCTCCTCCTTGTTCAACATCCACAGAACAAGGACTGCAGGGACTAATCCTCCTATCCCTGCTCAACAGCCTCTTTAGTGATCTCAACCGCGTCGGTACCGGTGACTTCAAGTCCTCCTCTCCGGCGAACCTGTTACTTGAAGGCGAAGGCGAAGGCGAAGGCGAAGGCGAAGGCGAAGCAGATGGTGTCTCGCTTGGTATATCAATGACCAACATCCCATCCGGCCTATTACTTGCAGATGACAAAGATGATGGAGATGGGCTGGGTGGTGATGAAGGCCCTTCTTCCTCCAAACCCGCACCCGGCCCGGAGCTCACCCGGCTCTGGTTCCCCCAGAACAACACATTTGTTGGGAAAATCGGAGCCTCAATCGAAAACCCAGATGCCAAATTCGCAGTTGGTGAATGAATTTCAACACCACCAGCACTCTCTTCCAATGCAGAAGAACTAGAACCGACAGAGCTTTGAGGAGCAACAGGGTTTCTACAGAGTGGACACGTGGAGTGAGACTGAAACCACATGTCGATACAATCGACATGGAATCCATGGCTGCATTTCGGGAGCAGCCTTGCTTTCTCGCCGTGGACGAGCTCGGAGAGACAAACCGCGCATTCGAGACCGTCTTTGAAGTCATCGGAAGGAAACACTACTAATGGTAAGGACCTGAGGACTAAAGGGTCGAGCCCTTTCCGCACTGCGGCAACTGGGTCCTGCCCGGGAGCGAAAACGAAGCGGCGGCGACGGCGTCGGGACTGGCCGCGAACTGACGAGGTGAGGTCGTCATCTGCCGGCCACAAGTACCATTTGGCGTAGAGGTGGAGGCAGAGGACGAAGACGACTACCAGAAAGAGAACCAACACGGCGATCATCATGATTTTTCCGGCGAGCTCTACGGCGTTCGAGTCGTCGAGTGTTCGACTCAAAGTGGAGTCTCCCATTGTTGCTGTTTGAACCTAAAGGTGAGAGCTTTACTTGAAAATTTGAAAAAACGGAAGAAGGGTACTGAGATTCTAAAGAAATGAGGAGAACCCAGATGAGAAATATTTGTGTTTTGCTTGCAATTCAATTTTCAATGAATCTGGGGCTTAAATATATGAGGAGAGAGAGAGAGAGAGAGAGAGAGAGAAAGTTGAAGAGGCAAAATGGGATAGGAAGTTGGACTTGTTCTATATGGGAGAACTAGGAAGGAAGAAGTATCTTTGTTCTGAAACTCGCGAAAGCGACGTAGGTGGAGAGAGAGAGAGAGAGAGAGAGAGAGAGAGAGAGAGAGAGAGTTGTATTTGTAATTTACACCTCCACTTTCAGGTTTCAGGATGACTCAGAAGACTTGACTATTTTGTGGGGAAGACTGGACGGTGAGAAAATATGGAAGACGACTGCAACCCATTCATTGGGTCCAAATACGAGAACTGGCGGTGGGAAGAGATCATTTTCCTGAAATCGTTACCGTGCATCCTATAATCAGAAATTATTATAAAATTTAAAATTTAAAATTAAATATAAATAATATTTACCGAAAACTAATCGCATGATATACGATGAATGATCACAATTAAGAAATTTCTAAAATTCCCAAAAAAAAAATCCAACGAGAATCCTTTTCCAAAAGAAAGGACCAACTTCGAACCCCACCTCTCAACTCAATGTCCATTTCTCAGTGCTTTCCACCTCTATAACGCCATTTCTGGCACTTTCTCACTTTGAGACTTCATTGTTGGAGAAGGATTTTTACCCAGACAAGGATTGTCTACCAACCCATTTCCGATGCTTTCATGTGCCCTCTTGTTTTGTGTGATCACAGTTAAGGCATGACAATATTTTATATTATTTTTTTTATAGAGATAATAAAACAAAAATGAATAGTAATATAAAATGTTGACGTGACTTAACCGTGATCACATAAACAGAAAGGCACACGAGAACACCAGAAGTGGGAGGGCAAACAATCTTTGTCCTTTTTACCTGTCCCATTACCATTTTCTTCCATTTATTTCTCTTACATTCTTCTTTTTTATCTTTTTGTCTATATAAAAAATTCAAAACAAGATGTAGACGTAGCATAATCGTAACTATTTAAATATGAGAAGATGAAAGGGGAGAGAGATTAGAAAATGAGATAATCCTACTCCCATTGTTTCACTTTCAAGTTAAAATAAACCCTTGTAGGCTTGTACTGACAAAGAACTTTCATGCGACGAGGATATTGTCACAATATGTAAATTTCTTCTTTAATCACTATTAGGAAACTTGGTTGTGACATCACATCCCTCATGTTTTTTAGCAGTAATAAATTAAAATGGTTTCAGATTTGCAGCTGAGGACTTATTTTTCATTCACGACAAGTATTAACTTTTCATGGCATACCAAGGTCATGTCCAACCGAAGGGTCCAGATGGCTAAAAATAGTTTGAAAACCGTCTCCAACTAAGGGTCAAGCCAAAGGGCTCGGGCCCACTGGACAAAAAAGGGCAAAAGGGCCAACCAGCTGGCCTATAGGAACCAGCCAACTAGCCCGGGCCGGGCCATAAAATTTAAACACAACGGCTAGCTAACGTCAGTTACTGCTGGATTTGAATTTTTTTTTTTGGGAAAAATTTAAAACATTCTCATATTTTTTCTATAAATATCTAAGCCATTCCTACACAATTTCTTACATAATTTTTGTGGATGCAAATTTCTTCCTCCTTGTTCTTAGATAAAATTGCACCTACAAAACAAATAACACCTTAAGTCAAGGCCAAGAGCCTCACGCGCCCACGATGAAGGGGGCTTTGGCCAAAGAAACTCTGATGCCAAAGTTAGAATTTTGAGAGAAAAGTGTTTGGAGAATTTTGAGAATTTAGCAAGAGAATTGGAATTGAGTTTTGGAGAGAATGATGAGGTTTTTATAGGGGTGTGGCCGGGCCCCTTGGGAAAGGGAGAACCGGCCACTTGGATGAATTTGTGGGCTAGGTTCATGATTTGTGTTTAATTAGCTAATTAATTAAATAATTAACCAATTAATTTAGCTAATTAATATAATAAATATGGAATGATTTAAGGGTTACCTTGTGGAGAAGATTTGATGAGGATGGATGAAATAAGTTTAAAAATAAATACCTATTTGGGAACTTTTGACTTAATTAAGGGAGGATTGTCCACTGCTCACGTGTAGGAATTCAGTTGTGCCTCGAGGGTAATTTTGTCATTTTTACCCAAAAATCCACGTGTCGCCTCTTGATTATTTTTTGCTCCACAAATGCCCCCACACCTGCTGGGCTGTTCGTAGGAAAGGGCAGCAGGTGTAGAGATCTTCATCTTTGATGTAGATTCTCACTTGGACTTGGAATTAGATTCTTCTGGGCATGGACCAATGAGAAGGTGTGGTAGGGGCCACGATTTGGGCTACTTGATTTCTCAGCTGCCGTAGATAGAGCAGTCAAGGATGGAGTTGCCAAGATTGAAGCTACTAAAGATGAAATGTCGAATAAGCGAGCTGTTGAGTGCAAAGTGGTTGCTGCCCCCTGACCATTTGATGCCTAGTTGGTCTTCAAGCATTTGATC